AATTTTGTTTTATATAAATAACTCACCTCCAAAAAGCGTCGGCGGAAATTTACACACTGACTCCCCCCTCTCTGGCGTCGTGCCTCGCGTCCACTTATCACTGTTTCTACACGACGCTGTAATCGATATAGAAGAATGTTTATCGCCACGAATGGTCCGCCCATTACTCAGACCCCCCTCCTCCTCCTCTCCCCCGGGTCAGGCTCCGCGAGCTGCACTCCTCCCCGGGAGTCGTAAGTCGCCCACACATTGGCATATACCCCTGACCTTGGTGTGCTCTCTTCGTGTTGCGAGGCGGATGCGAGGAGAGCGGAGGGAAGGGTGCGGGGGTGCGGGCGAGGGGGAAGGAAAGGAAATCACCTCTTGGCGCGGGCTGCGAGGCGCTGCCTGCAAGGTGGGCACCCTCAGGACCCTCCAGCAGATCTATTTCGGGAGGCGGGGACCGGAATCCGATACCCAGTCACTGCCGCCAAGCCAGTCATCCCCTGCCCCCCCCCCCCTACCAAGCCACAGATACACGAGTGTGTACCCAGCCCCACACACAGCCCGGCGGGGTCGAACTTTCGGCGCTGGCCTGGCCTGTCTGTCTGCTTCGAAGGTCCCTGATGTGATCCGCGAAGGCCTTTCGACTGTCTGCTCGTGTGGGGGACGTCAAGACCCACGAGCGCGCGCGCCCGTCGGTGCGTACTCCTCAAGGCCTTCACCTTACACGACCTCGGACCCCAGCCCGCCTTGGACCGGCCGGCATGTCCTCCGCACGATTAGAACGCTTATCGCGACGGTCACTCCCGGCTATTTAAAGACCCCGCCTACGGCCGCCTACAGCCGCCTACGGCCGCCTACAGCACCCCGAGGCTCAAGCAGCGCGGGCCCGGCTCGCTCGGGGGCAAGGACAATTAGGGGGTGCAGCAGAGTGGTGCGCGAGCCGCCAAGGCCAACAACACTTTGTGGGAGGAGAGTGCAGCAGCAACCTTCAGGGCATATGAGCTGCTGAGAGGCAAAGAAGCTGTTTATGAACCCAGTGAGAAACAGTTACATCGAAATGATGTCAGACTGATATCGTTGTCGGTAAATTGCCGATTATCGTGTCGAATCGATCCTGAGATGGTCTTAAAATCGAGGCATTTCCGATAACTGACATCTAGTTGATGTCGATTCGATGTCACATCGATTTTGATTTCTCACTGAGAAGAGAGGCATGCGGATGCCAGGCGGTCGCATTCTCTCGAGAGGGACTTCAACTGTTTTTTTTGGTGCAACAGGGATCGGGCAGACCAGGCCGGGTACTGCCCTCGCGCCCAGCGCTCCCGGCAGGGCCACGACCGGCCACGACTGTAACGAGCACTCTGGGCCCGTTCGGTCGTTTCGTTTTCGAAATGGAGGCGATTAGAGAGGTCACTGGGCGATTGTGCTCGTTACGGTATTTTAGAGTAGGGATTGCACAGAAAGTACTCCGTCATTCG